ATGTTGCCTCAGAAAATCTGTTTTCAGTCATGTTCTAGTTGTCGATTGTAAAATTCTCATTTTACCCTTGAGTAACACGATTTTATTGAATCTGAGGAGAGAGCATTCATTGGGATGGAATTGACGAGATCAAACTCGTTGGTTCTCGCTCACGGACGGCCTTTGTTGCATTAATTAGACTCTTAAATTCTCTTACTACCCTGGGCGTCATAATCCTCTGGTTACTGCCTTTCATCTCCTTTGTTCGTTAACGATACCCTTACCTTTAAAGCAAGGTGTGTTCTGGGAGTAGCCGAGAAGCTTTATGCTTCTATTTCAGTACTTCATTATTCCTATAATTTTGTCCTCTTTTGATCTTCATCGCAAAGTGATTTGGAAACAAATTTTGTCCATCAAGTCCCCTGCGTGGAGTGACGTCAAAGTTGACAAGTCTCGTGTCACTTTTTTCGGTAATTAGGACAACGTATAATCCAAACGCTGGTTTATTGTATTTTATGGCATGATAATAGTAAAATTTCATGTCGAAAATGCCTAAAAATTTGAAAGTTTTAGGTACAAAATTTTTCCATTAAATAGCATTGATCAGAAATTTACATTTTCCATGTTACAGCACGGTGAATTTCACAAGCATCCACATAAGTTCAAGCATTCATTAATTGAAAAATAACGATTGTTCACAGTGAAAAAAATCACTTATAAAATGTTTATTTTTGAAAAAAAATTGAATTTTTTCACCATTCTGGCTACCTGCATAAGTCAGATGATCGCAGTAGTTAAAAACGGCTCCAATTTTTCCAATTGATACTTTGGTAAAAAGCAAAGTTAAGCACTGTTTTTCCTTTTTTTAAGAAAAAGTTATTCTTAATAACTAATTTGGTCTTTTACTGAACATACTACTGAATTAGGGACGGCGTGAGTGGAAGGTAGGAAAAGTTCACACGCTCGAGGTAGGAGGAGGAAGGAGAGAGAGAGAGAGAGAGAGAGGCCGATTTCGGCACGTAACATTCTCCCCAGAGTTGTGGGCATTTTCGACCCAAATCGACGCCAACCGCACACATCCACACGCACACATCCTAGATGGTGCGTCCACGCGTGTGACATTTGCGACAAAATCACACACTTCGGTAGGTAGGCATGCGGGCCTCACCCCTTCCTCCCTACCTCTCCTTACATGCGTGTGGGTATGTGCATGAGTGCGTGCGTCTGTGCATGGGGATGGGAAAGCGGTCGCAGTTGTGAAGTCTTCTGCAATTTCACCACATGGTGCTGTTCGATCCCATCTTTCATTTGTAAATATGTAAATGTCTAATAAAGATCTTCAAAAACAACCCCAAAATGACCACCATTTACGGCTTTTAATCAGTAGAGTGGTTATTTTCAAAGGTTTCTATGGATCATATTAGGTAGCTAACACAGTTCTCAGCTCGTGAACCTCCAGAATACACGCTTAATAAAGTTTCCTAACTTAAAAGAGTATTAGTTCTTTAAGGCACGAGGACGTGTATTTAAAAACTCATTTATCCTTTTGAAGACACTCATTTTTACCTGAAATTGGCTGCCGACTGGGCCGAAATGAATTAACAATAAAGGCGTATATCTTTCGAAAATTGAGGTGAACATTAAGCATTTTGTGAAAACCACTGATAGAATTGTCTCCATGGCAGATCTTCGGAAAATGCGACACTTTATGCTCAACTATGCAAAGACAACAGCCAGAATCACTTGCTTCGTCATTACCCTTTCCCAAGAAAAGTGATTCTTTCAAAGCACTTAAGCATGACCAATTGTAGCATATTGAGCTAAAATTGCAAACTCACTAACAGTCTTCAATATTCATTGTTCTGATTCCTATTATTCTTGCTTTCTGTTAAAACCCTACAAATTTGTTCCAAATGTAGCGGTTTTTTACTAGCTAAAAGAAGAAAAGCAGGTCCCATTGCCACATTTTATGAGTATTTTTCTCCTATTTTTGTTACAAACAGGCGGTTGGGCGTGAAAAAGATCCCTTAAAACCCCTTAATTCACCAATCATCCGGCTTCTCAACAGCCTCCAGGCTAGACGAATACATTATGCATTCACTCCCTAGCGCCTGATTGGGCCTCAAGACTCGCGCCCTCCCATTGGTCGGTGGGAGATGAGCGTGCGCAAAGGCCAAATTCGGGGTAGGCTTACTGCATACACGTGCGCACTGAGCTGTGCGCCAATTGGCTCGCGATGTCGGGCGTGCGCGTTTAAGCTTGAAATGCGTACTGCTAGTGACTTTGCCTTTTCCCACTGTAACAAAATTAACGCACTGTCAGCTAGACTATCTCGTAACATTGTTTCTTTTGTAACGAAGGAAGAGCAACAACATTTCAATTCGTTCCTCATTCATTCATTCACTCAGCCAATATTTCTTCGAGCTCGTCCATTGTTTTGCGTTATTGTAGTACTTCCAATAGCCTTCGAATTGTAGTGATCCATGGATCGGTACGTAACAAATTATTGTTTGCTTTCTTTTCTTTTTTGCACCAAATGTCTTCACCTAAGCGTAGCTCTAGTATTACTGGATATGTGTGGGTGAATAAGTGGGGTAAGAATTCAATCTTAGTTTCCAAGGCTAATAAAATGGTCGGAGGCACTTTAATCTGATTGGCTACTTCACACAACCGAGTTTTACGAATCCTTGCAACCATCTGTCTATATTGTGAGCCCAGCGACTAGAACTTACCTTCTCCCTCCTTCCTTTCTGTCTCTCAGTCCACGAAGCAGGTCTTTGGAGGGGAAAGAGAAAGAGGGATGGGGTGAGTAGCATACTGCTCAAATCGAGGAGACTAGGCAGGTGGGTGTGAAGCAGCTGAGAAGACGCCGATAAATTATCTTCGCACCTCTCCCTTGCTCACACACAAATTCATGGGACCTGACCTGCTTACGCGCCATCGTAACTAAACTACACAAAATTTATGCTCCAGTGGTTATTCGCAAATGAAAATATCATTGGTTTACGTGGCTGCCCGTCCTCTCTAAGAACGTTGTCAAGTTTAGTAGTCTGATTGAAACTTTAATATATATGCATAGATGTCCCACAGCGCCTCGATAGGAGCTAAAATCAACCGAGACTTAATAGTCTCTATGAGTTGGGGGTTGAAGCATCATTTTACCTATCCTCTCCTCCTACCTACCAGTCTTTGTTACCTTTCTCTGCTGGAACGAACCCTGCAATAAAAGGAATGACAAAAGAGCAATAAATTTTCTCCCTTTTTTGTAGAGCGGCACTAGAGACCAATCCCACCCCACGGGATTGGTTAAACCAGAGTCTCAAGGTCGAGCCAGGTTTCACCGCCACTGCAAGAAGAGTTGTTTGTGGCAGTAACAGTGGAAATGCATCAGCTTACTTCACCTCAACCACATCGGCTGGGCATTTTGAAGGCGGAAATGATGGTGGAGGAGTCGGTGAATATGCAGCCTTCTCTTTACCTCGACTGGGAAACTCTCTCCCTCATCAGCACTTTCCCTGTCACCATCATGCCTTCGGACCTTTAACCCCGCATCCACCATTACAACCACCTCCTGTTGCGCCCCTGCCTCCTCCTCCTGCCCCGCCACCGTCTGAGTGCAGTGGGACTCTAACAAGAGCTCATGCAATGCATTCGTTGTTTGAGAGCTACACCTTTGAGAGTGGAACCACAAGACAGCACACTAGCGTGCGAATGGATCATCATATTGTACCGCCGCTACCACCTCCTCCGCAAGCTCCGCAACAGCAATCAAAAACTAGCGGAAGATGTCGAAAGGAGTCAGTCTCGTCTACAGAGGATTCCGGAAAGACAACATCCGAGGTGGATGGGGGAGGAGGAGGGGGAGGCGGAACAGGAGTAGTTTCTCGAGCCTCTTATATGTGCCGCAAATGTAAGGCTCATGGTCAAGCCGTGCCAGTCAAGAGGCATAAGCGAGCCTGCCCCTACCTTCAGTGTCGGTGTTTGAAGTGCAGACTAGTGGATCAGGGCAGGAAGGTGAGTGGTTCCATGACCGGCAACTTGTTTCGATTGGCTGAATGTGATGGACGTGACTAAGGTTTGTTTGCTCAATGCGGCTTGCTAAACTCGGTTTCGAGGCTTTCCTGCAGGTCCTTCAATCTTGACAACAGCATTCGTCTTAGTGACGGATGTAGCAAAACCGTCAAAATCGCTAAGCAATTAGTAATAGGCTTAAAAATTATCAGTCATTTTTGTGCTTTCTTCCAATTAATTTTAAAAATGTCTTGTCAGTTGGACTGTATAACAAGTGATTGACTTGTGTGAGGAGCAATGTCTTTTGTATTGCATGGTAACCAAGAAATCGTTGTTTGTCGTCAATCTCGTCCTCTCTTTAACTCTTTCCAACTAACCTTATCATTTCTAAGAGCTCACACTGACCGTTCCATTCCTGGTGGAGCTTTTCTGACGGTTTGGTAGTGACCACCAGTAATAAAAGAACAGCTGAGAGGCCCAAGACACGGCTGGAAGGGATGTCATCATGTAAAAGTAGGGGATGTGAGGATTTAAGAGCCCACATAATTAAAACAAATGTCGCCACAATACAAAATCTCACTACTTTTTCTCTTTTTCTCGTGGAGCTGCCCATGGTTTTGTTTCTGGTCGCTGTGTAGTCAGATCAATTGCATTCAAATTTAGAGTAGAGTTAAAGGAATTTGCGTTGCTAAAAGACAGCCAGAGGGCTCTACAAACAGTGCTAATGATTCCTCCTAGGATGTGACTTAAAGCAACTTTACCAAGATAAAAGTCCGACCTTACTTTTTCTTTCTACACTATCCGATCATCTAAACTAACGGATAAGTGGAGGAGGCATCTTCTGCTCACGTCAATATCGAAGGCAGCTCCATGCTAGAATATTTAGACTCACCACCCCTTGGCTTGTCAGTTTGTCAAATGGCTGGACTTCTCCTGTCTCCATTTAGTTTCTCCTTCTCCAGTCAGTCACAGAGATAGGATTTTGTTATTAGATCTTGTTTGAAGACAAACTGACCCGGAAGTTTACACTACAGAGACAAAGAAATCCACTTATTTAAGTGCTCAGTAAAAAGAATTTTTCTTTGCTGAATTGCAACAATGTTTATGAAACTAATATAGAATGGATAAATTTATATTGTTCCCCTCCTCTGTACAAAGGTTGTTGCCAGACAAATAGCCCTCTACCGAGATCAAAAAGGTCATTCCGGAGGCTCCAGCGGTTCCACTAACACCACTCATTCTCGTGGATCTCGTGACGAACATTCACGTCCTCGTCTGGCAGGTCTTCGACCTAATACCCTTCTTCAATTGCCTCTACCTCGGGAGCTGAGGATTGATGGAGCCCGAGTACTACCCTCTTTAATGACTCCCAGCGTCAAGGTCGACGGTCAAGCACTGATTGGTGGGAGGACGGTGGCCGGTCCGCATTGTCGTAGATGCCGAAATCACAATGTTGCGGTGACGTGGAAAGGTCACAAGAAGTCTTGCCCCTATAGAAATTGTCCTTGTGACCCCTGTCGCTTGATTAATGTGAGGAAAGACACGGAGAAGACCCTACGAGATATGGTGAGTTAGGTCATTTTACACCTTCTCAATGTTATTTGTAGATCACACCAGAAACTTCTTGACGTCCTTTTTTTCAAATAATGACAGCTACCTCGCAAAAGAAAAATTTGTGTTATGACAAGATGGTCACACTTTTTCTGCTTAATTTATGTCAAATGTTTCTGTCAGCTTGGTAGTTCAAACATTGGTGACATCTGATTGGCTGCCGTAGTCGATGCCCTGCAGGGAGGATCTCTACAAAAAGCTGGTGTTTTTTTTTCCAAATTGCATTTTTGCTCCCCTTTTGTGGTAAAATAACTTAGTCTAGTTACAGAGATTCAAAATCTTTAGCTAGGTAATGCCGCTGGTCTACCCCTTCAAGTTGAGGTAGGCTATACCCCAGAGCTGACAGGGAAAGAGACCACAGGCCAAACCTCGCTTCCAGGAAGGACCTGCTTAAGGTGGATATCGCGTGAGACAAGGACACAATCATTTGCCACTTTGAGGAACTCTGTCATAAAAAGGGAGAGAAGGAGGAGAGGTGTGACGTCTTTCGACTGTCTACCAATCTTATCTCTCCGGGTAGTTCCTCTGAAAGAAGTTTTTTCTTCCCCGCAGTTGAATTAAGTCGAATCAGCAGGAGAAGGTTTATGGTGGACAATTGCGTTGGCAATGTTTCCAAGCGATAAATTGGCGCGCACCTTAAACATGTGGATTGGGGTAGTGAGTGGTTCGTTTGGGAACAACAAATAATAAGTTCTTGCTCGCCTAGTGTTGGGCTATGAATGTCGCTTTGCAGTAAAACTCATTCCGAAGTCAAGTAGTCAGTCATGTAACAACACATGTGAAGGAATTGGAGAACACATCAAGTCGTCAAAACTATCACCTGATAGTCTGGGCGGTTGTGAGGCTGTGCTAATGCGAGTAAAAATAAGTTCTTGATTTCGCAATTTAGGCATTGAAGAAATTTGTTTGTAACAGGTCAGTTAGGAATGATACTCGAACATAATTTCTGGGTGACACATTCAGATGTCAAACATTCTTCAGACAGCTAAGGGCTTAAGGACTCAGTAAAGGCTACCGCACCAAATAACTGATGTGTAACCAGGCTTTAGAGCAAGCTAATTCAAAAAACTATACGACTTTTTGGGGAGTTGGTTACATACTACTTATATAGACTGCAAAAGTCGAACTCGTATTCTCACCAAAATTTACGCCTTCTCTTTCCCCAAAATAGGGAAAACTAGGGATCAGTTAGGGATTAAATAAGAGAATTTCTGACATTTGTAAGTGATGCCTAAATGAGCAAAAATTTATTTTAGTCTAGAGGTGATCAACAACAAACTTAACTGGGTGGAGACCGGAGTAGTGCTAGCAACTCCGATGAGCACACAACAAACATGAGGACGATGTAACAACCTGTTCATTTTGTTAACTAGCGGGCTTGCTACCTAACTAACTAACTCCGCCTGTATTCCTCCCCAAAGCTGCAATGATTTAATGAGGTTAAGCAATACGCCACAACGTTACATGATCGCACTTGCAGCAGGGCGGTAAGAGGGCGGTGGAAGGAGGGTGGTGAGCATGACTGGCCGGTACAAGGATTGTTACATAACACGGAGTTAAATTTCATGCAAATTTTTGCCCTACTTCTACAGGCTGGAATTGAGGAGAAATCGGTACTACCGACAGCATTGCTGGCAGAAGAGGCGACAACCGCGGCAACAGCGACAACAATGAGTAATTTCTTTCCATATCTAATGCCCGTGAATAATGTCCCACAACCGGCAGACATACGAGAGCCTTCATTGACTGCTGCGGAGCCTGTATCTTGGAATGAAACTGTCTTTCCACAACATCCAACCAAAAGGGCGCGCTCTCTACAGGACTTGAATGCCCATTTATCCGTCTCAGAAGCTCAAGTGAATAATGCCACGGTGAATCAAAGCGAAGCACTTGAACAGACCCGAGTCGATTCTCTAGAAGGGGCTAGAAATGCGGAGCAGTCGGGAAATAGCAGTAACAGCAGTAACAATACGGTTACCACAACAAATACTACTAGTAACAATGTAAGCAGTACATTTGAGCAATACCATCGAAGTGCAAATTACGATGCCTACTATGAGGAAAAGGCGCCTCGTGCAGTTCTTCCCTTCTGGCAGAGTTTCAGTCACTTTGAGGAAAAATCCACAATTCCCGGACAGAGCTACATTGGAGGTTACTATGGTCTTGAAAATGGCCGAGTTTTTCATGGTAACAGTCAAGGTCATCACATGTACAGCCCTGAAAGAGTATCTGCAGTGGCAGCGGCGGCAGCAGCAGCTGCCGCTATGGTTGCTATGACACCGCCAATAAACGGAGCCTATCAACAGCCCTGTTACCCTCCTCAAGGTCGCCCAGGGGGCCTGTGTCATCCCCTAACCTCTCAACATTCCGATCACCTGGGATACACTTCCTCAGAGGACTTCAACTCACCGAACACCTATCAAACTCGATTTCAAATTGAAAGGGGGCGTGCAGACGAATACTGCTGTGGTAGTGGAGGAGGTATAGGCGGCGGAGGTGGAGGGGGAGTTGGAGGAAGTAATGGTGGCTGGGGTGCCTACAGATACCCTTATATGGTGAGAGGCCTCCCTTTTCATCCTGGTGACCCAATGGAAGCAGACTTCGCATTAGCTGGTAGTCAAAGACACACAAAAATCGGAGGCGCTGTGATGCCCAAGGTTGTTGATGAGTCGTTGTACTCCGGACCTGTGGCTCATGTATGGCGAAGTCAGCTGCATCAGTTAAGTATCTCTCAATTGAGACCTGAAGTCGCGGAGGAGGTAAAAAACTTTCAACAGCTCAATTGTGATAACAAAATTGCGTGTCCAAATGACGTCAAACGTGATGCCGGTAAGAGTGGTGAGTTGGATGGCTTTGGACTTTAAACATCCACTCAGAGCTTTATATATACCAACTGACCTTCAAATTTATTACCAAAACAACTATGTGTCAGTGAGCCTGACCATCCTAGAGCAGACTGCTTTTCCTTTGTCACTACGGGGCATAAGGCTGCCCCTAAGAGCTGCAAGTTTTAAGGTACGGGTTTAAGCCGGGTGGTTAAGTATTGATAAGGCGTTCTGGATCAGGTGTCTGGTTTGAGACCCGTCCAAATGCATACAAGAATGCCATCCACGCCGTCCTGTTGTAGTTGAAACTTTGTTGTTATGGGGTGTGAAGTGGCCAAAGGTTCCGCCAGCGAATTGCACTGTCGCCTAGCTCACTGTATATCAGGTATTCTGTGGATGTGGTGGTACATTATCCTCCAGGGGTTTTGCATTCAGGCAATCACAAGAATTTTACCAATTCAGAATCTGGGATAGCGCCTAAATTTAATGAAGTTAAACATTACTTGCACGAACTACTCATGATGTATTCAAGCAGTATAATGCATTTCCGGTAAAAATTCTCTATCAGTGCAGCACTATGATATGAGACAGTTAATTATTTTAAATTTTTGGGGTTTTAAAGGCAAAAAACTTTTGAGATCGCTGCCTTGTTATTTATTCATCCCCGCTCGGATGTCACAGAAACCGCTGTCCAATCAGCCAATCAGACGATAACCATCAGGAGTGCAATGGATGGAAGTCAACGTGCGGGCGCTTTTCGGGAGGAAATTCCCTCCTCAAATAGTAGCCAACCCCCTCCTCCACCAACTCAACAGCAGCAACAGCAACGTCAACAGACGGAGGTCATCTTCGAAGCGGATCCGGGTTCCACATCTGAGAGAGAAGGGCCATATCAAGCGTTTGCATCTACCACCAGTGGCTCCTCTTTCACGATCGATGATGCACAACCACACCCCTTTCCTGCTGTAGGCGCGGAGACATAATTGTTACCCAACACCCCCTCCCCTCGTCCCTGCACTGACCAATCAAATCGCAGCGTTAGTAGTTTCGCGCGCAGGCTTTCAAACAATCGTGCTCTGACTCCATTCACAGCTCTAGCTTGTTGTACAGACTATACTGATGCATATTATCTTCTCTATCTGTGTGTCAGATGTACAGGTGATGTGTTTGAGGGTTATTTGAATCTATAAATAATTGGCGAAATTTATCTAATCAGAGAAGACGACTCCACTTGTTTTACAATATGCTGACCGAAAGGGTTAGCTTAACTTATCGAAAAGGAAATATTAAATAATTCAACAATTGAAAAAAAAATTTAAGGTTTTGAGTCATGGGGCTTTTTTATTTAAAGCATATAGAACCAGAACTTTGAAAGGATTCAGCTAAGCATATTGAAATGGGTTAACCTGATAAAAGGAGTTCGGACCAGCCAACATGACTGCTACAGCTGCGAGTCAAGAAACAGTGGTAAGTGCTGAATGTGTCTTAACAGCTAAAAGGTATGTTGTGGGACAGTCTACTATCAGAGGCTATTTATCAATGGTGTGCTTTTGGCACTGAGATGTTGAGGCGTTCCACAGTGAGACAATTCAAAGACCATCGACCATTCGTCGACGTGTTGGTAGCGCTAACCGGTGCTGATAGCTCATTTCCTAGCTCACAGCATCGGTAGTCATTCCTATGAACATCTGTCTGATTCCGAACACATCTTCGACGTATAGCATGTCATCAGTAAAATGAAGATTTTTCTTCTCTTCTCATTTTTATGTAAACAAGTAAATATTTTCTTAAAATATCCATTGACGCAGACACTATGGCATAGCACCTTGTGGAAACAGCTATCGAGCAACTGGACGCGAAGTAGTGGAGAAGACCTAACATGGGGAGAGGGATAAAGTCAATTTCTCCTACCCAAAAATCCTCACATTCTACTCAAGGAATCGTTTTTTTCTCATCGGCCTGCACAACAGGAAACGTGAACTGCAATTTGAGAGGGGTAAAAGTCCTGTTTGAGCTCTAAAGGGACTGTCACCACGAGTTTTCTGCCATCCATTTGCACATCCATTCATCCGTCACTTCAATCAGTACTTTGGTACATCTTGCCATTGAGCATTTTTGGGCAAATCGAAGGCAGATTGGCTGTCTTAGTGTCAGAGGAGGTCTTAAACCTTCCTACGTTGTGTGGGTGGGTATATCGAAAATCTCACACAGTTTTCCTGTCAACCAATTAAGAGGAATGCCATTTTCCTGAGAAGTTTTAAAAATTTAATTCTGACATGACAAGAAAAGAGGTAGAAAGGGAGGGATGTCAGTGGCCTATTTGTTACACCGGTGGTGGTCTAATCGTTGTCACGGCCACATGCAGATATGTGGGTACGCACTAACATCAGAACCCCTAGACAAAATGGTGCTTTAGTGGGGCACTTTAACCACCATGGTGGTCGCATACAAAAACCTAAACCACACTCTGCATTTTGTCTCCATCCTGGTGGGGGTCTAGCCACATAATTGATCCATTGTTTGGGGGAGAAAAAACTGGTCCACCATGTCTTAAACGCAATTAGCACACACTGAAGGAGTTTTAAGGATGCAGTCCTCCCTCAATTCGGATCATATGACCTAATGATCGAGATCTTTAACAGGAGTCGTACATTTCTACTAGTGTAGGTCACATGACCTACTAATTAACCGAAAAATGTGGCGGTGGCTTCCAATTTGTGAGCACTATAAATTTGAGTTGTTTACGGTAGCCTAATATTTGTGCTCTCGACTACTTTCCTGTCAATTTGCAGGTTCGAATTAGGAAACCAAAGTAGTCACTGTGCGGCCATAGTGAAACATTTAAGACGCTACAATTGGCCGGGAACTTTGCTACTTATAAATTTATAAGTAACCAATATCTTTTGCTAGCACGGGTGACAGTTAAAGTGTCACTTTTTTGACAGAATCGATGTTAAAAAGTGATTTAACGCAAAAAATAAACAAAAAAAATGAAGTTAATTACAGCAATCTGATACTTGATTTGATATGCACTTAACTACACGAGCTATTCGGTCACCGCTGTTTGCGAATTCATTTTGATAGTGGCCAAAAGGCTATGTCCACAACTTTCCAGCCAATCTCTGTGGACAAAAGATAAGCCACTCAACCACTTCGGTGTCTCTTATTAGGGTTAGAGAGAAAATTTAGGGCTCTGCAATCTATTATATTGTAGGGGGTTACTTTTTTCGTGCAAATCAGCAAAGGTGAGCTGTCCATCTTAAATAACTGGCTTAACAAGAATTAAATTAGATTTTGACTAAGATTTTGTTAGTAACCTTCTTATTTTGCACTCTATTTAGCTTCCGGTAGCTGTTAGTTTTGACAAAAATGAAGGGCGGCTGCCACATTGCTTCCTGAGTATCCCCGATTGTGAGGTCCACAAGGACGGAAGATTTAAACGAAGAGCACACTAATAAGTAGTTTTCAGAAATTTGTTAAGCATTTACGCGTCGCAATAATATTTAATTGTCATATGCAAAGAGTGAGTTGTAATGGTGTTGCCAAGAGCACTATGTGACCACTTCCATTTGACAAATAATATGTGACAACTTGTCCTGGCTTGTAAATGCAGGCGATTGTTTACATCACATGCGTCATAAAGCATGAGTAGTGTGAGTCCATCATTAACGTGACACACACTTTACTATCTTCCGACTAAAGCCATCCTCGAGTGGTTGAACTTTGAAGAATGTGGGTGGAGCATGGCGGCTATACGAACTGGCTCCAATTGGGTGCCTCGCCACATTGATCGTAGAAGATTCGGAGAGGGTGAAAAACGCAGACAACCGTGCCACTGAGCGCTTGCTAAATTTTGCTACCTGATTAGTAACAGCAAGGGTATGAGTGCCACTTACATGTGAAGGATTGATAGGTGAGAGTAAGACGCTGGCATCACCCTCTTAGGATCTTTCCCCTATTCCACCTCTCACCATCCTTTTCACTCCTGATAAAGGAGAATACCTCGCTACTTAACCACGCCCTTTCCTTCGGATCTCTTGCAAAAAGCCTTGGTTACTGTTAAGAGGGGAAGAGTACAACTGCCATTCAAGCTGAAGCTGAGGGAGGGCGGGGCGGCCTATGTACGTCTAAACAACTCCTAATGTGATTCTGTCTGGAATTGCATGGAAAGGCCTTTTCCGTACATTTTGAGGCCTTTGTCGGATGGTCTTGACTACGAGGTTTGCTTGGTGGTAAAAAGAATGGATGAATAAATTGTGAAAGAAGTGGTACGGATGATTAGTTGCAAATATCAGCTCCTTGAAATCACTTAAAAGTGAGGTCTTTGAACAAGTGGCTCCACTTTTAAACGGAGGGTTCTACCAAAAAAGATTTGACCCTGGAATTATCTTGTTATGCAGCAGAGGCCAAATCACCCCCTCCCTTAAGACAAGTACAGTGGGATCACCGAGGAGGTGCACCACTGACCTTGGAATTAGATGCCCTTTTCGCCTCCATGAACCTGTGGTGAATAGCTCCATAAAGGCACTAAGTAGGTTTTAATAACTGCATCTGGTGAGTAATAAAGAAGAATACCAAAGGGAGATGTCTAATTGAAGAAGAAACGAAATGCAAAATGATTCGGTAATCTTTATACTGATCTGCAAGGTTTTGACCACCGCAGTGATGGCGTGAACTTAAGGCTGTGAACACATCCATGTGGGTTCGGTGGAGACTCAGGGCGTAACGCACTGACTCAACCACACAAAGAGTCGAGTTGTTACAAAGTGATAACATAAAATTAACGCCGTGCATATATTTGTGAAGGTTCAGTGATGGCTTGAGGTGTAACGGTGTGACTCAATCACATAAAACGTCAAGTTTTGACAGGATGGCAGTGCCTCGAGTCTTCTCTGACGTCGTAAATCAGTATCCGAATAAGAAGGAATCGCTGACCGTTTTCGAAGAGAAGGTTTGCGGATATTGCCTTATTGCCACACCTCAAGGGCTAGAGCACAAAACGCAGGACTTTTGTCTGAATGTCAATACCTCCGGTAACAAAAGGGCAGCGGGTCATCCAAAACGTGTTGCAACATCACCCACGTTAATCGCCACCGTCTGCCTCGGTGCTACGTGCATCCACCACAATGTACGCCTTCGCCACATCCATTTCAATGAGTTCGACTGAAAGTATCGGCAGCCTTGGAACCGTATTCTACCCCCCTCCCCCCTCAAAATGCTCCACGGTGAAATTTTAGTCGAGTTTAAGGCATTTTTAACAAAGCAGATGAAAGTTTTTCATAACTGGCAGGCTTAAATGACATAAATTCATGGCGGTGAATTTAGCTTAAGGTGGAAATGGCAGAATACGCGATAAAGATTGTCGTACATATGGACCAGCTAATATCTTCATTTCATACTTTGTTTATCAAAACATCCATCTGCTTTTATCAATTAATTATACCAAAAAGTACAGGGATATTTTTGAAACAGCTCAAAATATGGCACTTTTGATCTATTGTATCAAAATCAAATCTGTTTTAACATGTACATCCTTTGACAGCTTAATGGGAGAGTAACTTGGGAATTTTTAATTAAAAGTAGAGAACTAGTTGAATTCTTTTTAAAAATGTATGTTTTTAATATTTTGAAGATGCTATTCCGTATTTATCACTCCTAAGTACCCTGCTTCGCCTTGACAAAAATCATGGAAAATAGTAATTGTTAGCTTGATGTAATTTGCTGTTTTATTGCAATTTTTACCAAAAAATTTGGTGTTTATTTAAACACAGCAGCTTCCCGATTTATTCAAAATGTCCTTTTGGCTGGATGTATCGTTGTATTGGGACACAGTGCAGCGGACTTGTGGGTTCCCTTTGTTGTCGAAATAAGTAAAAATACTCATTTGCTGAATTAAAACAGCTTTTATATTAGTTCTCAGAGCTTAAAGAGTCACTAATGTGCATCATAATAATACAGGAATTGGTTGTTTGTGATTGATGCAACGGACTTCTACTAAGTAAAATATGACCGAATTGGGTTTCTCTTCTATACCTTTTAGCGCAAATTGTAATTTATGAAGAGTTTTTTCGGTGCAGTCAGAAAAAAGCACATTGGTAAGTGGTGGAAGCTTTGCTGAGCTTTATCTACCCGAAATCACGACCTCCTTCTGTAACATGGCACTGTGTGCATCCACTCGGCCCCCGAAGTAATATTATTGCATTCTCCTTTCAGCATATGCCTAATCACGAAATCAGGAAAAGGTGAACTGAATACAGGGCGTCAGAAATGCCGAATTCTTAGCAAACTGCTAAATCTTATCGTCACCCGTGGATCTGATGATTTCGGGTTGATCAACAAAAGGTGACGCCTTTTTCGAATGGGTGGAGGGCGTCCACGCCAGAGACACTCTACGGCACTCATTGGAGAATTGTGTGAATAAGTGGATTTCCCGAATAGCTGTGTTAATCGGCGCTGAAGTGCGAACCACGTAGGTGGGGAGGAATAAGTGCGCTTTGAATTTGCAACGATGGCAGCGGGAAATTCATTGTAGAGTTCATCAGGCCTCAAAGTATTAGAAGGATGGCATCCATCCATCCATCCATCCATCCTCCATCCATCCGTCCATCCATCCATCCATCCATCCATCGGACCCTACTGGGATGCGAACCAAATGGTAAGGGGGAGTTATTGCAGAATATCGGATCTGTGAGACTACCTTAAGAAAGGTGATAGGTAGATTAAATTCACTCGCTGTGGACTAGTACCCAGTCTAGTGCACAGCAAATGCGATGGGATCCACAAAATGGCATGAGAGATATTATGATTAAATTTCCTCTGGTTGATAGGGAAGAGAGATCAAAGAATTGCTGAAGACAATAGTCAACAGAAGGTTCATTGCAAAACACTTATTAAGTGGGTGGGTTTCTCATCTTTCTAGGTAAAATTTTTTCGTCAGGGGTCGCGGACTTCCTCCCATTTCTAAAAACTGCCGATACTCCTTCTGGATTCTTTTGCAATGTGATGTATTTACATTTGAGTGTACCAAGTTGTGGAAGACCCACTGCTTCTGATAGTTCAAAAAAATAGGTTTAGAATCTAAGAGAAGGTCAAATTAACACTTCTCCTAAAGGAGCAGGCAGGACAGCCGGCACTACTCAGTCAGTCAGAAAAATGAGCGACCCCTACGAAACAGTATAGGTTTACATAGAGTAGAAAGCCCGCAATTCAAGGGAACATTACCCCTAGTTAGAATTTTGTAAGTAACGCTAAGGAAAAGGAATTCGGTTTTACACCCAAAATTGCCATGATTTTCATTTTAAGGCGTCTAGTTAGAGTTAAAACTGCAACGAACGTGTATAATGTAAAGGTATTCAAATAATGACCTGTTATGCTAAGCAATTTGATTTATAAAATATATTTAAGAGGCATTTTGAAGTTATTTAATCTTTACTATGAAAGACCACGCAAACCAGCTCCTCTACCTTATGTAAATGCAGCTCTCGGACGAATGGCCTTGAATTTAAAGTACTTAAATCATTCGAGAACTAAACAAATACTAATGTTATTAAATTATTATCTCGCAGAAATAGCTTATTAATTTAGTAATTCTACTTCAATCTTTTCTTTTGCTATTTTGTAATGTCGATTTGGTGGCAAGTAATAGGTGGAAACTTGCAAATTTATTGTATGCAAGCAAATCCAAAAATTGTGAACTGCAATTAAGAATAACCCGTTTTTAAAGCTGTGCTATTTTGTTACAATGTTGGTCTAAGAGTGCCTGAATTAGCCTGGCTTCCGAGGAAGAAGCACAGATGTGCCGAGTCCGAGAGTAATAAGCTTGCCTTGGCAATCTAAAAGTTGTGTCAATGTGTAACAATTCGAAGTCAGCCATTTTCTTTCTGCGTAAACCTACTTCTAGAGCTTCTGAAGCATTGAGTTGCACCTTTGTTTTAAACAGAAAACAATGGCCTATTAGGCACTATGTAGGGCGTTTCTCTCTGGCCCTCATACCCTTTAAACGAAGAAGTTGACCTGATTAAGACATGTTTATTTTTGAGTCAACAAGGATACCGAGCTTCTCTTTGCCTCGAGGGATTCTGACCACTCCCTTATTACGAGTTCCGAGCCATTTATCCGCTTCCCCTTTAAAAGTTACATTTGAATAACACTGGAGTTGATAATTTGGTTGAGGAGTTTTTGCACAAAGATATTTTAGCCCTGTAAGGCAAAATGCTTGCCATTATCTTTTAGAAATAAGGGTTTCCAGGGTTCCATTATTAGTAATCTGATCTTCTTCGGGTCAAATTTTTTGGGCCAACTTCCAATGGATTGAGATGAGTGCAGTAGATTCCTGTACTTAAAGAAGGCTCTTTTTGAGTCCAGT